TTTATTTATGACAAATTCTGATGGCAGATTCTGAAAGAGCAAGAAATTTTACATCAGAAATGATGTTGCTAGAATTTTTTCAAGGCCATTAAAATAAAAAATTAAGCCACTGAAAATTGTTCAAAAAATGTGTCCGCCTGGACGTTAATGGGTTAACGTATGGAAAAGAATTAGAGAGCAATGAAATATATAATTCTTGCGAATCAATTCTATTGTTCGAATTAATCACCGATTAAATCAATTGACGATTAATTAGTCGGCATAGTTTAAAATACAATTTTCAATTGAATAATTCATTGCTCCAAAAAGTCCAAATAAAATCTCTTCTACCATATTTTAAAAACCAATAATAAATCTATTTATAAAATAAATCATGTATTATTTATCGATAATTATCAATTTTAATTATCAAATTTTGCCGAAGTCGTCCTAATATGCATATTTTATTAATGTATATTATATTAATTTTATTCTCGGTTTAACTTAATTTAGGCTTTTTCAGATTTAAGAATTAGAAAAAGATAAAGATAGTGTGTCGAGATTAAAATTAAATAATAGACATTGGTAAAAATTAATCTTCGAATATTTTTATATTATTTAAAATTAAATGGCATCATATAATTGAAAAAAAATTCTTATAAGAGAGTAAGTTTTGAAAAAATCCGTTACTCCCAAAGTACCCCCAAGACCCAGCTTTTTACTTTGGGGGTAATGGATTTTTTCAAAACTTATTCTCTTATAAGAATTTTTTTTTAATTATATGATGCCATTTAATTTTAAATAATATAAAAATATTCGAAGATTAATTTTTACCAATGTCTATTACTTAATTTTAATCTCGACACACTATCTTTATCTTTTTCTAATTCTTAAACCTGAAAAAGCCTAAATTTTACTTTGCAGCTTTTTACTTTGGGGGTAATGGATTTTTTCAAAACTTACTTTCTTATAAGAATTTTTTTTCAATTATATGATGCCATTTAATTTTAAATTCTATACAATCGGAGTACATTCTTCAATGTTCGAACTCTATATTTAAGAGTTTTTGCGATCCAATTAAATTGTTATAGTTTTTAAACAGCAACCTTTTAAAAATTGGTTTTGACAAATTGACGCTAAATAATGAACTTGATTGAAAAAATGGGTATGACAACCCAAGGTTAGTGAAATGAAAGCCTTTAAAAAAATATAAATTGTTGACATTTTTGTGTTCCCGCTCTGCAGGCGCGAAGGAAAGCGCGGGCGCAGGCTGCAGCGTAGCACATCGTTGGCTGGACTGACTGAGGTCATTGGCGTCATTGCCGGAGTAATAACGGCAGCCAGCGTGTCCGTCCACAGCGTGCCGGACGGACTGACGGAGTCGTCTGTCGTGGCTCGTGCCGCTCGTAGCGTGCAGCGGTTGGTGCAGGTTGGTGCGTGACTGATCTTGTCAGTCGCTTCGTCGCAGTGTCGCTCACCGAGTTGTCAGTCGAGTCCGAGTGAGTGAAGCCACTCTTCGCGCTGGTCGCGCAAATCCTCTGCGGGGCATCTGATAACTGATTCCTGTCCATTATCTACCGGCCGCTGTCTCGTCATCAGCTTATCATTCGCCGCGATCGAATCTTGGAATTTCATCAACAATGTCATCGCACGTGACGAATTTTTACAATGGTAAGAGCGTCTTCATCACCGGCGGCACCGGTTTCGTCGGCGTCTGCCTGATAGAGAAACTGCTGAGATGTTGCCCCGACATCAAGAGCATTTACCTGCTGATGCGTCCGAAGAAGGGAAAGCAGATCACGGAGAGATTGGAGGAATTGACGAAAAATTCTGTAAGTAGCGCGACAAAACATCTCTCTCTCTCTCTCTCTCGGGCGCGCGGCTCTTCTTACATTCCCATGCAAGATAGCCAAGTCTGTCGAGAGCTTATGCAAAGAACGTCTATTAGCAGTCTTCTGCAAATAGTTGTTGCGAGATGACTTCGTCATTTTAGCAGAGAGACTGCAAATTTGATGCAGAATTACACACGTACAAATTAGCAGAAAGCTGGGAAATAGCAGTTTGCCAACGAAATATGATGGTAGATTAGTGGCAGAAATCAAGATAGAAAAATTTGTTTTGCTTTTTTGTCACTGCACTGAACTGCATTATACAGAGAAAAGTGTTTGGTATTTGTTATATTATAATTGCATGGTAAAATAATTATGATTAGGAATTCCACTTTTATAGTTATTACTCAGTCGTAATGAATTAGTAGAAATAATTATATTTATAATTCTACCAAACAAATGTATGCTGTAATGTAGCTGAAAATGACTATACATTATATAGTTAAATTACAGCAATTGCAATCATTTTTTTCTCTCAATGTAAAACTTTATAAAGGGACTTAACAGAACCTGAATAGACCTAAAGCTTATTTTTTATAGTTGAATCAGTATACACTTTCTGCATTTTTTAAATAAAATATGTATCTGTTTGGAATTTGGTGAAAGTCAAAGAAGGAGAAAGGATAAAGGTCTAATGCAGTTTAATGCAATAATAAAAAAACATATTGTTTGACATGTTTGTTATATGATTTGACCTAACAGAACCTAAACAGATCTAAAAAGCTTATTTTTTTATAGTTGAATTAGTATACACTTTCTGCATTTTGAAAATAAAATATCTATATATTTGAAATTTCGTGAAAGTCAAAGAAGGAAAAGGGATGAAGGTCTAATGCAATCTGCGAAACCAGTTTAATGCAACAATAAAAAACACATTGTTTGACATATTTGTTATATAATTTGACGGCAGCATAAATAAAGCAGAATTTGTATTTGACAGATGTTTTGTATTTCTGCTCAATTTCTGCCATTTACTGAGTGAGAGATTATTCTGAGACGCAGATTCTGGCTGCGTCTTGACATTCATTGCTGAAAATCTATAGTACATGTTACATGCATTATAGATGCTTATCGGATACTGGCAGTGAATATCAAAAAGCATGCCACAGTGTGACAGCAAATTATGGCGATAAATCAGCAAGCAAAACACGAGCATAATGTGAACCCAGTTGACACCGATTTACTAACGATTTCTGATCAAATTTGTTACCAATCTGCTGGCAGTTAAGCAATCGCGCGGTTTACTTATTGGCTTAAAACTCTTTCGCACAGGTCTTCAACCGAATGAAGGAGGAGAAGCAAACCGATTCATTTAAGAAGCTGATCCCAGTTGCTGGAGACGTCAGCGAAGAAAATTTGGGATTGTCCCCGCAAGATCGAACGACCTTAATAAATACAGTGGAAGTCGTTTTCCACTCGGCCGCGACGTTGGACTTTGAAGCCGATCTAAGAACTACGACAAACATTAACTTGTTAGGAACTCGCAGGATCGTCCAGCTCTGCCGTGACATTAAAGAACTCAAGGTAAACCGGTATTCTGAAAAGAGCATCTTACAAGAGCTCATTCTCTTGTGTTTTATATTTGTCATGTAATTTCTTTTGTTTGTTTGATTGTTTTAGGCGCTGGTTCATGTCTCCAGTGCATACGTTAATTCCGTGTTGCACGATGTCGACGAGATCGTGTATCCCGCGCCAGCGGATGTAAATTCAGTTTTGAAACTGGTTGAGTCACTGGATGACGAAGCCTTGAATTCTAAAACGCCAGAGATATTAAAAAAGCATCCGAATCCATATACGTTCACCAAACATTTGGCCGAACACGAAATAGTAAACGGTGGCGTTCCAGCGACCATCGTTCGTCCTTCGATGAGTGAGTACATTTAATTACACGACACGGTTATTATTATATATATATACTATGTTATATATTTCAAAATAATATGTTATAATGTTACATATTACTAGGGTGGGTACTACCGGGAAAAACCGAGAAAACCTGGAATTCTCAGGGAATTTTATTTTTATACTCTTGAAAATCATGAATTCTAATGGAATTTTTACTGGTACTCAGGGAAATTTTTTGAATTTTACTTTTAAATTTAATTTTATCCTTTTAGAAAGTAAACGTGGCCCCATATCGAAGGCCCTTGATATTGAAAGTTAATTTATTTTAAAATTTATATATAAAGACTTCAATCTAAAGAACGATAATCCGGAAATAATAAATCAAGCATTAGCAAGAGTCTAATAACGCAGAACTTGGTGCGTGAAATGAATTTAATCTTCACATATGTAGTTACATTTCCATACAAAATTTTTCGTTACGTTCGAAAAATTTTGTATGGAGATGTAACTATTGTACATATGGGAAGATTAAATTGTTTCACGCACCAAATTCTATATTCGTTACTAGAACTCTTAGTGCTTAATTTATTTTAAAACTGTATTGAGAAATTCTCTGATCTTACCTGGAATTTTGAATAAAATTCCTGGAAAATCCGGGAATTTTCAGGGAATTCTTTTACAAAATTTAAGTACCCACCCTGATTACATAATAATGTAATATGTTATTACATATTTCAAAATAATTTTCTATATTTAGTAACAGGAGCGTGGAAAGAACCAATCCCAGGATGGACAATATCGAAGAATGGGCCACAGGGTTTTATATTAGGTGCCAGTAAGGGTGTTGTGAGGAGATTGCCAGTTGCAAAAAATCTCATTTATGATTACATTCCAGTAGATACAGTAGTGAACAGTTTGATTGTAGCAGGGTATAATGTCGACCGTGACAGGTAATTTTGAAAATCAAAATTTATACATATTTTTATATTTAATTCAGGGTTGTGCATCTATGTGTAAAATATAATACTCTACGTTTACGTGTAGACAACGTAAACTATTGTATAAGTGTCATTTATGTAAACAGTCAGTAGACTATATATTTATTCATTTAATAAATACATATAATTTAATGTTTATATAAAAAAGCTACCATTTGAGTAAGAAAAATTCTCTGGTTGCATTCTTAATCTTAATCTCGTAATTAAATTA